TGATGGGAGGCTTAGAAGTGTTGATCTCTCAAATCGGAGTACCTATGAGAATGGTTGGTGAGGCACCTAAGCACTACTTTAGCAAAGGCATTAGGGTAGTGCCAAGGTACTTGAGCCTCAATTTGAAATACATGAAGAACTGTTGGGTGTGCTGTCAACATGCCTCTTAGATGGTTTCAAGGTATTGTGAGTGGCACCTAGGCACCACTTGAGTGGCGTCAAGGTTTCACCTCCTCAGTTGTGACTACATGGGAGGAAAGATGAGGGCATGGATTGAATCAATGCCTACTTTAATTTAGGTTGAGTTTAACTTAATTAATATGAATGAGGTTGGTCTTAGTCATGGTGAGTCATATCTTAAGGTCGAAAGTATGGGCCCCACCCTAGTAGAGAAAATTTTTGTGGATTTATTCTGAAATTTTTAATGAGTTTTAATTAATGAAATTTGGATTTTTAACTTTATTTAATTTTAATTTGAGTTGGATTAAGATTTAAGTGAAATATGGACTGTAATTAATTTTTTTATTATCCTCATTATCATCCAAATCATTGTATTTTTGATGGATCCCCAAAAGAAGTCTGATATCGATACGAACATGCTCGCTTGAAAATTTTTATGATTCAGTTGCACTCACATAATCTATTTTTAAGAATATTACTCTAATGGATTTTTTTGACGTAGGGCAATTTTATGCATGAAAACTTGAAGCACCAAATTTCTCATAAAGATAGTGTGCACTCATCACCAACCTTATTTTTAAACTTTTTCATTTGTGTTAATGAATGTTATATAACTTTTACAATAAAATTTCAAGCACTATGATGATCTTTAGAGACTATAATAATTTTAGGGTACGTTTGTGTTAAGCTGATTATGGTTCAATTTTAGGATTTAGTTGAAGTTATTTATAATTAATTTTATTTTAATTTTGTTAATTTCATATTTTTTAATTAGATTCCATTTTTAGATTTGAATTAAAATCAGCAGATCCATTTTTAAAAACATTGCTCAATTTTAGTTAAAGTAGAGTTCAAGACCTGGCTGATCTAAGTTTAGTTCAGTCATCTAGTGACACTGGGATGTGGTTCTAAGTCTAAATGATATTTGATATAAGCCAAGGAAAAGGTTGACCAAAATTGGGATGAACAAAAAGTATTATATTTGTCCCCAGATTGTTATAGAAGACTTTAATTTCAATAGATTTTTATAAGAAAAAGCTGGTGGCAAACAAATTCTTTACTATAAGCTCTTAAATTTTAATTACAATATCTTTAAGACTTACCGTGGTCTAATTGTAAAATTGACGACTCTATAAATATCAAACTAGACACAATTCTGGTTAATGGTGAGTGACTAGACACAATCACTTCCTAATCCCCCTTACATTATTTTTACACATGTTCTTTCTTTTATGAAGTACAAATTTCTATATGAAAGCTACCTAACCTTGAGCTTCAAATTTGAACATATTGTGTTCCTACTTTAGAGCCCTCAAGTGTAATGAGACACCATTTTCACTTCATGCAACAAAATTATTTTTTAAAAATATGACACTTAACTCTCACTATTCACTTGATTCAATTCTCTATTAAGAGACTCACTAAAGAGCAAGAGAAAGCTCATTTCATCCTTAGTAAAAATCAATATTCTCTTCAATAAAATTTATATGTTATGAACAAAGGTGAAAAACTTAATAAATTTAATTTAGTGTGTGACTTATAATTATCTCAAAGATCCAAAGCCAAAGGCTAAAAATGGGATAATATATATAATCTTGATTTCCACCACTCCAAACTTAGAAATTGAATAACTCAAATACCATCATGGAAAATTTCAATCTTTTTTTTGGACTGTTATACTCTTAGAGATATTGAAAATGAAATCAATAATTACTTCTAAACTCTTTTCCTTTCTATCAAAACATACAACCCAACCACTACGCTACCTGACAACACCATACTCACATATCTCTTTTGTTTTTTTGGTTGTCATGATTTCTAAAGAGTTTAAAGAGACTAATAGCACATATTTAAATTGACCACAAATACATCTCCAATAATGAATGAATTCTCTTTCGAGTTTTTTTTAGATTCTTGGGATATTATTGGTGATCAAGTATATGAAGTTTTCAGACTCTCCTTTCTCAGTAAGAAAAATTCATAATTTGATTGTAAATTAATTGAATTCAAGTTTTCCATCCCAATATTTTGTAATGCCATGGTAAATATCTCACAAGTTTTTTATAAGTACACCAATGATATTAACTACTTTAGTATTAAATCTGAAAACCTTCAGACTATTCATCTTCTTTTGAATTATATATGATACATTAGTGTTTGGAAAAAAATATTTCTCTAAAGTTAATTTAACCAAATAAAATTTACATTCTTTTCTACAAGGTTTTGCTCTTCACATTAATGTTGCCAAATGAAAACTATTCTTTTCTATTAAGGAATTTTCCTAAACTTAATAAAAAAATTGCCTTAAATTATACATTCCATCCCTTTAAGGCTATATCTTTTGATTTTAGCCTATTGTTGACAAAATGAAATCCTTTTTAGATAGCAAGAAAGCTCAATATAAGTTCATGATAGAAGTATGTCAATTATTGAATTTAACTCTCTAACATTGTTTCTTACTAAAGTCAATCTATTATTATTTTTAATTATTGCATTAAGGCCGTTAGTTATCTTTGCTCTAAATTCCTCTAACATGTCAAAATGTATGATAAAAAAGTGATACTAAATTTCCTCAGACAAAATTAATCGCACTTAAAACTATAATTTTTTGGTCATTTACACTATTAACAACATAACAAGGCATTCATATTTAAAATCATCTATAGATTATGTCATATATATATATATATATGTCTGTCGTGGTACCTTACACCTCTTGTATCTCTTGATCTCAAAGTTAAATTTAACATGACTTCCTATTTATAGTAACATATCATTTTCTTTAAATCTAAGTGGATTTATATTTGGCTTTATTGGGACTGTTGGCTTCATTAAAAATCCCCAATTGATATATATATTTCTTTCGCACATTCTAATGAGATTCTCAAAAGTTGGCTGCCATGCACATCAACTTTTCTTCTCTGTCCTACTTTTCTCCAAATTCTGCAATATGTGCTTGATGGGGGAAACATTCATATGATTTTGAGAAGATTCAACCTCCTTTTTATTAACTATATTATCTATCACATTTAGAGAAAAGAATGAAAGAATTTTCCGCAAAATTTTTTTTATTTTCTCTACTTATTTATTTTAAATCAAATTTGCTTTGTTTGCTATAATTTCAAATTGGAAGCAACAATCTATGCTTCAAAATACTCAAAATTATTCCATCCTAATTGCTACCTTATGGTTTACTATGGTGCTAAATTAAGCTTTGTTTATGGGTTTGTGCTTCTTTATCGATTCCTACGATATACTCTATAATAATCTTGACTTTGTCATTGAAAATCCCTAGCATCCAATTTCTGCCTTTCATTGTTGTCAATTTACTTCATCTACTTGATTGCAGCATATCAGCTCATTTTTCCCAGCCGATCATTTCTTACACTTTAGGATATGTTTTGGGCAGCTGCAGTTTATTGAATAATTTGTTGATAAACTGATTAAAAATAATCTGCTGATAAGATAGGTGCGGTGACTATTACAAATTTTATTTTTTTGGAAAAACTAGACCGTGTCTAGAAAGCTACCACCGCACTTAAATACGTGTGATGCAGTGTGAAAACACTATTTTCGGCTTTTTTAAAACGCATAAGCTGTCGAAATGAAGTTTACCCAAATAGGCCAGGTCGTTTTCAAAACGTCACCGCACCAACTAAGCTGCCCGTTGGAAAAGCTAGACCGTATCTAGGAAGCTACCACCGCACTTAGATACGTGCGATGCAGTGTGAAAACACTATTTTTGGCTTTTTTAAAACGCATAAGCTGTCGAAATGCAGTTTACCCAAATAGGCCAGGTCCTTTTCAAAACGTCACCGCACCAACTAAGCTGCCCTAAACGAGCTCTTATTGACCCTGTTTGGAGTCCGAAAAACTCATGATTTCCTAAATAAAAAATTTACTAAGAAAATGGATGATATTTTCTGGTGCAAGAGTGAGTGTTGTTGCTCAAAATTATTTAATTTGATAAAATAAAATTTCATAAAGGCTCGCATATGCTCACACTATAAACGTACTAACTCAAAACTTTTATGTTGATTAATAACTACTATTCTTAGTGAAATTATATATGGGTTAAAAGACTACATTGCCATTTATAAATTTAAATTGCACATTTTGTGACAATTTGACTCATTCTTGTCCCCCAAGGATGAAATAAAAATTTATTTACGACTAATATTTTCTGTAAACCAGCAACTGACGTGTGCTTATGAAATCTGACATCATGACTTCAGTTTTAGTCCCACTTAAGGCTCGAAAATTGCATGAAGAAAGCGCACTTTCTTTTATCAGAAATAGTTCCAGAATATTTGCCCTGCTGTTCATCGTTCCATCTTCATTGTTTGGATGATTTCACACTCCTCCTATTGCCTTGCTAAATTAATACTAGGTTGATTCAAATATAAACTAAACTTGATTTGGATAAAATCAAATCATGCATCTATCTTAACATTTTTAGGGTTAATTAAATGTTCAAAAAATGAACATGTACGAAGGGCTTGTTAAAGAGAAAATTTAGAAAGGTTGCATTTTTTTTGAAAGGCTTCATTAAGAAATGATGGAATTTTATATCTAAAGGTATGGGATAACACACTTTCAAAATGATGCTAAAAGAATAATGGTCAAACAAGTAATAAAGCTTATTTAATATTTTTATAAATTTATATACTTCTATTTCCTTTTTTTCTTCTTGCAATAAAAGCGATAAGTATAGTAAAAAATACTCGCAAGAAATGTATGCATGCTACCATAAACAAGTTACAAGAGATTCAAATGTTTAATTAGAACTAGTTGTTGTGAGTCATCAAATATTACTGTGAGTTGCATGAAATAAGAGCCACTAACCATTGTTCTTGTTCGTCTTCGAAACTACAACACCAATAAGAGGTGAAATTATTGCATCAGGACAATCAATGCAAATTTGTATCAGGTGTCCAATAACAGGAGGCCACGTAACAATTTGGGTCCACTAACATACACGGATCAGGCCCGGACTGCCACATCTGTTATTGTACACCTGATGCAATGCAATAATTTTTCCAAAAAAAAAAAACCATAAGAAAATACAGAATCACAATAAAGAGACGTCTATGCTACTTACTAATTTCAACCACCATCTCCAATGTCTCGCTTGTTCGACCAACCCAAGATATAAAATTTTCGATCCCAATCCAAAAAAAAAACCAAATTCACAATAACAGAAAACCAACATCACGTTCGTCCATTATAACTAAGGCCATCACAACGGCGAAGATCTCATCGCGTGATACGACTGAACAGCCGATACATGTCCGACTGTTGCACTGGCTTCAGCAGAAAATCTTCTGCTCCTTCCTTCAAGCACCTGGACCAAAAAAAAAAATGAATACTACCAGCGAAAATAAGAAGAAAGTGGATTCCGAACCGTACATTTTGATCTGGGTCGGAACGTTCTCCGAAGACATTATGACCACCGGTATGTTCTGAAACTCCGCCGACTCCTGCCATACCCCAATGCACGTAATTATCAATCAGAAAAAAACCTGAAATTGTAAATGTACCTCTTTTTTTTATTATTATTTTGCTAAACCCTTTACTTATATGTTAATTAGGAAAAATTATTGCTTGCTTGCATGCAGTTAAAAAAAAAATGGTATTTAAGTGGTCCGAAACCGACACCACACCACATGCAAATTTACGTGCGGTAATCACATACAACAAGCGTTCGTTAATTAGAAGTTACCTTGATACGTTTGAGAAGTTCGAAACCA